AAAACGCATGTGTTCAAACGTTGCATAATGATGACTTCAGACAGTTTGTGCGGGACCCACGTTCCTGCTTTCAAAATTTTGCCCATAGCATGCGAGTGGTGTTCAGAATCGTTTGGTGAACAGTGCCGAGCTTTTTAGCCATTTCTCTTGATGATTGCCGCGGGTCTTCGTCGAGCAAAGCTTGCAAATCGTCGATATCAAGCTCCGTTGGCCTTCCAGGGCGTTCTTCATCATTGAGGTCGAAATTTCCAGCTCGGAACTTGGCAAATCATCTCTGGCACGTGCGTTCATCAAGGGCAGCATCTCCGTGGACAGAACAAATTGCCTACGTCGCTTTTGTGACATTATTGCCTCGACGAAATTCGTAAAGCATGCAGTATCTGATATGACACTTTCAACATCCATGTTCATCTGAATAAAAAAATTGCACAATTTACAAGTTAGTTTCAACGTATAATATATCAAAATAATCAGCAAGACATGAGCTTTCAAACAAGTAAAAGGTCAACTAAAGAAGACGTTTATTAAACAGATTTATTAAGAAAGAAAAAAATCCGACATTATTTATTAGCCAACCTAATAGATTCACTAAATACAATGACAGATGGAGCTAGCTGCATAAGCAAAAGAGAAAAGTTGAATCAAGTATCGCGCGATACAGCTAGATGTAGACGATGAACTGCTAGATGCATCGATCAGACGATGGAGATTTTATGAAGAACAAAAAACAACTGTGCATCTAGTGAAAGTCAATGCAGCTAGATTCATTTGATAGATGCACTAGTGGATCCAACTAGATGCATGAAGCTAGCTCACTTTCACTAAACACCAAATAACTGTGCATTCAGTAGAAATCGATGCAGCTAGCTTCACGTATCTAGCTGGAACTACTAGTGCATCTATCAAATGAATCTAGCTGCATCGACTTTCACTAGATGCACAGTTATTTTTTATTCGTCATAAAATCTCCATCGTCTTTTAATCGATACATCTAGCAGTTCATCGTCTACATAGCCGCATCGAGCGATACTCGATTCAACTTTTCTGTCATTGTATCTAGTGAACAGGAAAGTATAAAGATATGATGATGCTGCACAATGGGCATCCAGGCGGAAGTTAGGCAAAAAATCGAAGTTTCTCGTTTTCAAAAAATAAATAGTGCAAAATGTAGCCCTTCAAATTCTCTATCGAATGGTGTATAAATGTCTATTTTGATATCGACTCCTTTGAGGAAAAATTAGGGCACAAAAACTGCATTACATATATGGTAAAACAGGACACATCATAGAAAACCGGGATTCTTCGCTCTCTCAGCAATGCTAAGCAATTCGAAAGGACATATTCAAAATCAGTAGCTCCTCAGCTATCTACTAATAATAGAATGTTTGTACTTTGACATCGAATTCAATAAGTAACAGATCATGGATTTCTCATAACGATAGTGGAAATGACACTACCCTAGTACAGTCACATCGCCATCCTTAGCCACCCTCAAAAACAATATACAAATACATCAAAATGTTTCTCAGACACTACGCTATTTATGCTAATCTCGCAGAATCTCGCAACTCTTTCCCGACGGTTTTATGAATTTTCCAAAACTAGGTATGCACCGGTATCGGTATTCATACCGAAATACCGATACCGAAAATACCGAACTTCGGTATATATCGATACCGAAAATACTGACTTTTTTCACTTGGAATTTTTGGGATTTTTTCATTTGAAATGAGATGTTTTAGCGCCCTGGACACCCAGTATGAGTCAGGGACGGAAAACAAGAGCTTTGTTTGCTTTCTAAAGCCAAAGTTTTTCTTTTTTTTCTATCTGCACATGCTTAAAATATACAACTGAGTGTTGTTTATACGTTCTGCTTGTCCAGGATGCTAAAATACCTCATTTCAAATGAAAAAATCCAAAAAATTCCAAGTCAAAAAAAGTCGGTATTTTCGGTATCGGTATACCGATACCGGTGCATACCTATCCAAAATCCCTAGTGGTTTTCAGGTATTTGAGAGATTTATTCGTCAAGAAAGCACTTTTTCGTACAAACAAGCCTAGAAATTTCTTAGTTTTTGAGATTAACGCAAACAATTTCGTGCTGAAAATTTGAATTTCAAGATAAAGTAACCTGAACGACTCGAAACATGTTTCTTATAGGTTTTCGATAATGCTCTTTCCAGTGGCGTCGTTTTTAAAGATTGAGAAAGTTTTCTGAAGGGTTTTCCAGACGCTGGATCTCTGGAAAACTCTTTAGAAAACTTTTTCAAAATCCAACTCTCATGCCATTAGAAAGAGGATCATGAAAAACCTATAAAAAAAATGGTTCATGAAATTTTAGTTCACTCATAAAGCTAAAGTCCGCCTGCTCTGGCAAAAAATGCCCACTGTGTGCTGCGGACAGCTTCGCTAAATAAATACACTAGTAGATTATGGGCCTAAATTTGTTTCCAAAAGAAATAAGAAAAAGAACTCAAAAAGGATCGAGAATCCTTTTCAGCGATCGAATTACCATAAGGTAATCGTTACCGCATATGATGATAACAACATGCTTGGACTTGTGTAGAATGTGTATCCGAGAGATACTGACGCTCAAACCATTCGGATTAATAATACGGTCGAGCCAGAATGTCGTTTTAGACCTGTAATCTCTATATCTACCGTACTGACCGAGTATGACTGTATTGCTACATCCACAAGTCGCCAGAGAATAACGAAATTATTACACCGAGCCTGTCACTTATCTCTATTACCCGCAATATTTACCAAACGTTCCCATCGTTGAACAATTACAAATCGTTTCATTAGCCAAATTTTCATTACTAAAAACAACAGTAAAAAAAGGTCCGAAAAAAAGATTAATTTTTAACGTAGAAAATCTCTCCGTGGGACGCCTGAAATACGAAAAGGTCTAGTGAGACCCCAGATATACTTCCTTAGTTATACAAGTGAGGAGACACACACCTTTCACTAGCTGAAATTCTACTCTCTAAAAAAAAAGGTATCTTACAAAACCAGAAAAAGGGTATCTACATTTGTTACTAATAAGAATCAATTTCCGTATCTTAGATCACCTTCTTTTAGTTTCCTAGGTTACGTTTACCCGTATTTCTGATGCCACAGAACCAAAAATTGGTTCTTATTAATAACAAATGCAGATACCCTTAAATGTATCTTAGATCAACTGTTTTAGTTTTCTAAGTTATGTTTACTCATATTTCTTGCTCATACGTGAAGGACATCCCGAAAAGTCTTTTGTGGTTTATCTTCTCTGCTTCGCGGGCCATATAGGATAGAAGATAGTGTCAAAGTATAGCTGAAAGCACTTCCTATATCTCTCAAAAATCGGAGTATAATTTCAAAGGGAACTCGCTCGAAAACGAGGGTATTTCTTTTTCTGAAGTTTGTTATATGTGGTTTTGCGTCTCAATGGAATGAACGACAGCAGAAGAAGCAGGACCTAGATCGCGGTGCTCAAATCACCCAAACCTTAAAGACAAAATTCTTCTAAAATACTTGTTCCCTTGACTTTAGTCTAGGGCCTGATAAAATGATTGTCTTTATGTCTGTGCTCAAACATACGGAAAAACGCAGGGTTTCTAATGAGAATCTGCCAGAAAACGTACATATACGCTTTATAACTGACCACAGAGCGTGCGTGTACGCTTTGGAATTAAATGCAAAGCGTGCAAAGTCATAAAGCATGCCTATTATAACAAGAAAGAAAAGAAAGATTGTTATTCATTATTCTGTTTTAATAAAATCAAGTTAAAATACCAAAAACATTGTTTTGAACCGCTTTTTCGGTGTTTTCACGTTCATTTTCTATCTAAAAATAAACCGCTTAATAGCAAGTAGTCAAATGCTGCTCTTTGAATAAGATCTTAATTTCTTCAGGGGATAAAGAATTTTGCAAAAGTAGAGTTTTCAAGTCAAAATTCAAATGAGGTAGATCCATCTGAAATATCGTGATTAGAGCTAATCGCGCGGTGTCATATAAGGGACATTCAAAAAAATAATGAAAAAGGCTTTCGTCTGTTACATTGTCGCATGAGCAAAAAGGGTCAGAAACAAGACCACGAAAATACAGGTCCCTCCTCAACTAAGAAAATCCAACTCGACACCGACAATAATCAATGTCGGCATGTCTGTTGCTAGTGTACGGTAACTTTGGAATTTCTCTCAGTGATAATAAGCTTTTCTTAAACTTTGGTATCCGAAATATCAGCCGTGTTTCCACTGGTAATTCATTGTATTCTCTAGCCGTTCGATATATTATTGAGTCGTACAACATATTCAAACGACAACGCGGAGTTGGAAGTAGCATCTTCTCGCGACTTCGTAGTGAGTATGAAAAAACGGTAGGAGGATCTGGACGTGATGGCAGCAGAGTTTTTAAGAAAGAAGGTGTTTTTCCCGTAACTATTTTTTGAAATAAAACTAACCTGTGTCGCTTAAAAACAACTCGCAACGGCTCCCATCCTAAATCTCTAAACACTCGCTCCTTAGAACTGTGCATCATAGCGCCTGACACCGCTCTTGCAGCTTTGTATTGTGCTGACTCAAGTCGATCAAGATTTCTGTCAGATGTATTTCCATATACCGCTGACGCGTAAGTGAACAAGTTTAAAACAAATGACTTGTACACTAGCTTGTCTAATGCCTGTCTAGATAACGCACGTGTATGAAGCTTTAGAAGACCAGTTAAACGACTTCCTTTATTTAAAACATAATCTACGTGCGCTGTCCAGTCTAGATTTGACCTTAAAATTAAGCCTAACTGTTTTTGTTCAGCAACATAAGAGATGGACAACTTATTGATCAAGACGGGTGGTAGCGAAGCGAGAGTATCGCGTTCACGAGTAGAAAAAATCGTAGCTTTACATTTATCAATATTTAAGTGCAATTTCCAAGTTATAGACCATTCGTAAATTAAGAGTAAATCTTTATTTACTTGGTCTATAACTTTTCTAATATCGTTATTCTCTGTAACGCGGTAGAGTGAGGCATCGTCAGCAAACAATCGCATTGTTGCACTAACATTATCACCAAGATCATCAATAAAAATCAAAAACAGTAACGGTCCCAAGACCGAGCCTTGGGGCACTCCTCTATCAACGATTTTTGCTGACGATGTAATACCGTCTACCGTGGTCACAATTTCTCTATTTGAGAGATAGCTTTCAAACCAATTCACTAAGGATGGTGGTAATCCTTTTGCTTTTAACTTTACTAGTAAACCCTTATGCCA